CCACAGGCCCCAAAGTAGTTCCTTTTCGGGGTTCATGTTTAGAATCCTATAAGGTAATCCCCAAGTGAATCCAGGGTTTAGGGTTTAGGGTTTAGGGATCAGGGTTTAGGGTTTAGGGTTTAGGGCTAAGGTAATCCCCAAAAGGAACTACTAGGTTTTAGCGGTTCGAGTTCGAGTTTTGGGGTTTAGGGTCTAGGGGGGATACGCAGTCGCCTCGTGCCCGGAGCCCACCGAAGGACAAAACCTCCTGCACCCACTACCTGTACCCCTCTAGGGTTTAGGGTTTAGGGTTTAGGGTTTAGGTGTTAAAAAGATTTAAATCGCCTATATCCGCTCTGTTTGTTTGCCTGACCCAGTTCACCGGCCTGCTCCAGCGTAAAGTTGGTCAAGACATTTGCGGCCGTGGCCGACAGCTTCCTAGGCTTCTCAGGAGCTGCGGGAGTTGAGGACGTCGCGTGCAGAAAGGCCCCAAGCCCTGAACCTGAGAGGCTGATTCGGGTAGTCTTGTGGAAACTTCCGAGAAATGAGAACCCTCATAGGTTTGCAACTACATCTCTGCTCTTTGTCTTGGATTGCTGTGCCCCAGGCTGATGCTGCAAGAGCCTTTGTTGCCGCTACTGTCGCCCCTCTGATGGCTTTGCATCATAGCGGCGAGCAAAAAGGCAACATGGAATAATGCCTGCCACCAACACACCCGAAACGCCCTACGACCACCCCCCTAAACCCTAAACTCCAACACCCCCCTAAACCCTAAACTCCAACACCCCCATAAACCCTAAACTCCTATAAACCCTAAACCCCATAAACCCTAAACCCCTATAAACCCTATAAACCCCCATAGACCCTAAACCCCCCAAAACGCCCAAACCCCAACACCCTAAAGGCCCTGGACATCCGACCCAGTTTAGGGTTTAAGGTTTAGGGTTTAGGGTTTAGGGTTTAGGGTTTAGGGTTTAGGGGAAGTCCGACCCAAGGTGCAGGGAAGTGGTGAAGAGTCCAGCAAGAACTCCTTCACGCCGCCGCCCAGTCATCTCCTCATCTGCCTTTTAGGGTTTAGGGTTTAGGGTTTAGGGTTTAGGGCGTTAGTTTGGGGGATTTCGGTGTTACAAAAAAGGCGACTGGGAAGGAGGGTCTAGAGTTTAGGGTTTAGGGTTTAGGGGCTATGAAGGTTTATTGATTAATAGAAAAAAGCACGATCATTGGTCCCGCTATGAACTAAGGCTGTTAGATATTAGAATAAGGTTCAGGCTACTCTCCGAGTAGTACAAACAAGAAAGTCAGAACATCCGTGTCCTCGTGCCCTAAAGTGCAGAATGGGGAGTCAAAGCACGAATCATGCGTGTCCCATGCTTCAACAGGGTTTAGGGTCTAGGGTTTAGGGTTTAGGGTTAAGGGTTTAGGGTTTAGGGGGCCAGCACTGTAGATGTAATGCAGTAAACGATGGATAGTTGCCCACGACTTCTATTTCTTAGGATACAACCCTACACCCTGCCTAAAGTCTCCCATACAAGTCGGGCTCCAAGCAAACAACATGGAAATGCTGGCCTAGGGCACAAGGTTCAAGGCTTCGGGCTCCATGGGCAGACTGGCCCTAGCTCATACCAAGGGGCCTTAATGACTGGATAAGGTCCTGGGTTATTTTGTGGTGTATAGCCATATCAGGGAACTATTCACGTGCAGGTCCCTTGGCTATAGCTTTTCGAAGCTCCTTTAAGTGGCCAAGAGCCCTGTACCACCACCCGAAACCCTAAACCCCAAACCCTAAACCCTAAACCGCAGAGGTGCCTCCACAACGTCAGGAAGCATGGAGACAGGCACCTGTCGCGGCTTGGGGAGGGGTTGATCCGAGGTCTGATCCTCCCCCCCAAACCCTTTTTCCTAAACCGTCCCTGCAGTTCGGGTTGGAAAGCTAGCGCTCCGGGCGCAAGGCTTCGATGGAACTTTCGGGTTCGATGATGCTTATTAGCCACTTCTAGGGTTTAGGTTTTAGGGTTTTAGGGTTTATGTTTAGGGTTTAGGGAGTTTAGGGAGTTTAGGGTTTTAGGGTTTAGGGTTTAGGGTTTTAGGGTTTAGGGTTTGGGGTTTAAGGTATTATAGCCACTTATAGGGTTTAGGGTTTAGGTCAGTATAGCCACTTCTAGGCTTTAGGGTTTAGGGTATGGCGCCCAGGCTGAAGGATTTCTGGCTGGGAGATTTCGGGTTTTGGGTTTCGGGTGCTTCTCGGAAGGCAACACGACTTAAGGATACCATCTCTTATGCCTAACAACACTCGCATATTTCAGGTTTCAGGTGTAGGCATCAATCAGCAGGTCAGGGATAAGTTGCAAGGATAATACTTTCAATGTTGACACAAGGGCACGGCTAGCGCTTGCGGATGTTCTACGACCACATCCGCCTCCAAACCCCACGCCCCGAAACCCCCAGAACAACACCAAAGCCCCAAACCCAGAAACCTCTACAACAACCCTAACGTCATCCTTCCAGTCTTCCAGTCACCCTCAGCTTTGCCCCTAAACCCTAAACCCTAAACCCTAAACCCTAAACCTTAAACCTTCCTGCAAGCAAAGGCAGTTTGGGCGCGAGGTATGGCACGGCCAGGGCCACGCCAATGACAGCGGCGGCGACCACAGCTGCCGAGGTAGACTCCTTTTCTGGCTCAGGCTTATTAGGGTTTAGGGTTTAGGGTTTAGGGTTTAGGGTTTAGGGTTTAGGGTTTAGGGTTTAGGGTTTTAAAGTTTAGGGGAAAGTGTATAGGCTTGGATCCGGGCTTTGAGTGGTTTTGTTTTCTGCTGTTGCTTTCGAAGATGGGGCTGGGCTGGGGCTGGGGTTGGCTGGGTAAAACCCTAAACCCTAAACCCTAAACCCTAAACCCTAAACCCTAAACCCTAAAATGTAGGGTTGGGCTGAGAAAGTTTTGACTGGGCCGGGGCTGGGGCTCAGGGCTGGGCCGGCTGTGCTAGGCTCTTCTCATGCTGCTGCGGTGCTTGCTATTGCTGTTGGTGGGTGCGTGTGCTGTTTGTGATGATGTTTGTGTTGTATTCTTTTGCTTCAACACTTTTCACAGCTGCGCTGTCTTGGTGTACAAAGGCTTACGGTTCAGGGTTTAGGCTCTTGCTAGCTCCACTCCGGTTGGCCAAAGGACTCCGAAGAAACACAAAGTCGGCTCTTTCAGCTGACTCTTTTGACGACCCGTCCTCCCAGTCTGTCCGACCATCTAACTTCCGACCGCGAACGTACTATAGGGGCCTTAATAATTAGAATATTTTGGGGCCCATGATCCTCTACCTATAATAAGGAACCCCAAAAATACCATTGGTAATTCTTTAGGCCCCCCCTAAAAAAGGCCCTAAACTTTTGGGGTTTAGGGACGGATTGCGTCAGGACCAAGGCTCAATGAAGTTCAGGCACGACATGGCAAGGGTAAGCAAGCAGCCTCCGATGGAAGAGATTAGGTTGTATAGGAGTTAGGGTTTAGGGTTTAGGGTTTGGGGTTTAGGGTCTAGGGGTTGAGGAGTTGCGATTTGGGCTTTAGGGATTGGGTTTTGCTATTGAGACTGGGGTCTCACGTGTGAGATATCAGGGTTCAAGTTTAGGATGGAGGGTTTGGGATGAAGGGATTGCGATTTCAGGCTTGGGATTTCAGGTTTAGGACTTCGGCAGCTCTTCAGCGACATGCAAAACAGGGGGGCAACTTAAGGGATGTACACGCAGCCGATGGGCATGTTGAAGAAAAGGACACGCTCACAGGCTGGTACAGCCAGGTCCTGGGGCTTTCGTAACTTGATATCAAAGTGCGGATGAAACACAACAGCCCAAAGAATCCAAGTACCAAAATAGTAGCTACTTAGGCCCCCAAAGCAAGTACTATACCCTAAGTGTCCATGTACCCAAATAGTATATACTTTGGTCTTAATGTAGTCCCTATATAGGTACTTTGGGGCCAATGTATCTACTATTTGGGCACATGGACCCTCAGGGATACTATTCCTTGAGGACCCTTTAAGTGGGAATAAGTAACCGTACATATGGACACAGGAGACCCTGCGGCAGGAACCAAGCAGCTTCCTTAGCTCGAACAGCAAAAGCCTACAAGACGAGGTGTCCATCTGGATGGTTCTAAACCCTAAACCCTAAGCCCTAAATCCCTAAACCCTAAACCCCTAAACCCCTAAACCTCTAAACCCCTGAACCCGGAAACCCTAAGCCCTAAACCCCCAAACCCTCTCTGGATCGACTCCTCCTCCCCAGACAGGAACCCTTACTCTCGCAAAACGGCCTCTCGCTCAGAGAGAACGCGGTCAGACATGTACCAGATACCTTTTACCTCGTTTCGAATGTCTATAAAGGAACCTTTGAACTGAATCAGAATTGGTGCCTTCCTTTTCTAGCCAAACTGCACAGCTACTCTGTATGACTCAAGGGCCCTATGGCAGCAGATATATACAACAGTTCACGCATGCATCTCATGACTGC